TTTTTTTTTTTTCTCCTTTTGTGCATGTGTGCTTCTGTTATTGATATGAACATTTAGGTTGCAGCATGGGATGCAAATCTAGTGACTCCTCACAAACGCATGGGGAATGCATGTATTGATTTGGAGAGCCTCTGTGATGGTATGTTTTAACCACTTCAGTACCATGTTAATGTTACTATAAATAAATCTCCTAGAATTAAAATTGGAATTAAAATTTCTGTAGACTTTGAGATTTCATATCTACACAATATGATATGTATTGGATTGGCAGAGAACTCTTGTTATCAAAATTAAAAATAAAATAAAATTATATGGTTTTATTGAATTAAATTTTTTGTACAACTTGATTATTCTTCGATCAAACGATATTACAGTTATAATCTATATTTCTCTCTTCCGATTCTTCCCTTCTTGAAGTTGAATTTGGATCTTTGAAATTTGGACTTGCATAACGTTGACTCGCAGGCTTTATAGTTTTTTCACGGATCAAATGTTACATTGCTTGAGCTTCTTAATAAATTCGGCTGCAATATCGCTTGAACACCATTCATCTTTTTTTTATTTTACTTGAAAGATGTGGGTGTCTTCTCCATTGAATGTACTTCAGAGGCTCGAACGTTTGATTCCGGATTGCACGTTGATATTCAACTTGAGTGTCTTGGATCAGAACGTCTTCAAATCGTTGGATATTCAAGGGAGTTCTTGAATTTGAGACTTGAATTGTGACGTGTAATTTTTTGCTTTTAGGAGTGTCTTATTTTATAGGTGTATGAAAGAGTCTTATTGATCAGTCCTTCATTATTTGATATAATCTATTTCCTTCTTCTAAGATTTTTATTTATCTTAAGATTTGACTTTGATATATAAGAAATATTACTATATTAATTAAATATCTTATTTATCTTTGATTGTCAAAAAATAAATAAAGACATTACTTAATAAATTATTTAATTTTGGTGTCTACAATTACGCAAAACATTTTCCTCACAAGTTGCATACGATCATTTCCGACATAGTATGTGTACTCAATTGTAAAATATTGAACTCTACTTTGGTAGGAAATTCACATGAAGTGCTTCTTGACTTGGAAGGGATGGGAGGCGGTGGGAAGATAGAACTTGAGGTAAGTTTGTTGTCATATTGTTGGAAATCAAGAATATTACATGCTTTGGCAATGTAGATCCATTTTTATTCTAAGTAACAAGCAATATTATATGCGAAAGCTATAAATTCCTTACTTTTATTTATTGAGCTACTGCGGACAAGAAACGATTATGAGGAGGATGTATTAAGTTGAAACTTCTTAAAACCTTTGAATTTCAGTGTATTTAGTTGAAACTTTTTGAGACTTTTTAAAATTCTACTTATATTCATTTGAGACTTTATATAAATCTCTACAAGTCTCAATATATTCGAATTTGGTTGATACTTTCTCAATAAGTCACCCGATATTCAAATCAAGAAGGCTTTGTGAGACTTTTTAAATTGAAATACTTTTAGAAACTTTTTAATAAAATTAGAAAGACGAAGTCGTAGAAATCTCATGAAATTGGTGACATTTTGCTTGATTTATGTGATTCTTTTCAAATCCTCTTTTTCCTATAGGGTTTAATTTACACAATCATGTCTCATATCACTTTCATACTCTATTATTTTACTAATTTATTTTGATAGCTTGTATAATTTATTTTTCATCACAAATGCTTAACTTTTTTTATGGTTATTTTATGTATGTTTACTTTTATCTTCTTACTTGCTTGCTTTCTTGTAAATTTGGCTTTTCAAAGGTCAAATGTTTGTATTTGTATAGTTTGCACTTGTTAAGTATTTACTTTCATGACGATGTTGTGTATCGTTATATCCTAATATTATTTTATTTTTCAAATATTGCAACATGATGCAAAATATACGATAATAATCACATAAATATGTCATAGTCGTGTTGGGAGTAGCTCTTGTTTGACCTTGTACTCGTTTAATAAATGAAAGTAAGTTAGCTCGTGCTCGACCGATTGAAGCTTGCGAAAGCTCGGATTGGTTTGGCTCATCAATAAACTTTACCTTGATTGCTCATGAAAATAAATATATTTGAAGACAAGTTCGCCACGATTGCGTATTTTATGAAAATTGCTAAAAAATGAGTGGTTTGTAACAAACTCATTGGCTCGTTTGTTCAAGCTCGATTCATTTAACAAAAAAAAAAAAAAATCTGAGTTTGAGCTTTCAGCACAACCGAGTAGTATTCGCGAATAGATGCTATAGTTAATTTAATATTTTTAAAGGATTATTTTATTCATTTTTTACTTACACAAGCAAAATATTTACTCATTATTGAATAACTGGTGTTTACTGTTAGAATTCATTTCAATTTAATATTTTAAAAAAAAAAATTGATATTAGTTATGATGTAGGTTCATGAACATATATTCCAACATAATAAGTATAGTATAAGTTTTCTAACATTTCAGACTAAGATTTATTGATATTAGTTATGATGCAAGGGTCATGAACATTTATTCAAACATAATAAGTATAGTATAAGTATATGTGTCTCAGGAAGTTTAAAAAAAAAATACATGATGAGAGTTTTAAAAAGTCTAGAATTCTATAAAAAAAACACGGAAATGAAGACCAAAACCATTAAAGTTACACAAAATCCACAAATTCCACCAAAGGCACTCACTTTAAAAAGTAATAAAAAGTCTTTAAAAGTTTGAATTGAATGCAAAGATTAGGATTTTGACTCAGAGGTGGGAATATAATTTATTCAAAAGAAAATGAAGTTGATTTGCAATATCTTGCATTTAAGGTATCTATAGGAATATGAAATTGTTTCAAGATCTGGTAAAAGTGTTGACATACCATGCATTACTGGAATAGACTGAATATGTGAAACGTTTTGAGGACAGGAAGAAATGTACTTGAGCGTGCGTTTGATGCATTTAACTTGTAACTTTTATTTCTAAATGTGTATCAGATCAAGTACAAGAGTTTCGAAAAAATCAACGATGAAAAGAACTGGTGGAAGATTCCTCTTGTAACTGAATTTCTTCAGAAAAATGGTTTGGAACCTGCACTCAGAATGATTTTGGGTTCAGAAACTGTTCAAGCACGTGAGTTTGTACAGTTTGCTTTTGGACAGATAAAGTCTATAAATGATTCGTATATTCGGAATGACTGGTTTTCAAATACCAAAACTACCGGTGCTCCTAATCTCAAGGCAGACATGAAAGAGAAGTATAAAGAGGACTCAGCAAATGAGTCAACCCAGAACTATGACGAAAGTATAGGGGAAACTGAATCAGATAATAGTGTAACTGATAATATGCAGAAATCCTTGGACGACAGCGAAGCTGGAGAAGATTCATGGTCTGACAAGCACTTTTGGAAGACGTTAGCTGACTCAATCAATCAAAATGTTGTTCAGAAACTTGGTCTTCCTGCCCCTGAGAAAATTAAATGGGATGGTTTTGACTTATTAAAGACTATAGGCCTGCAGTCACGTGAAATTGCAGATGCAAGTTATGTTGAGTCGGGGCTTGCAACTCCAAATAATCAAGGTTCAGATGATGGTGATATAAAGGATGGGTTAGTGCCACCAAACAAGGAGCGAACATTTCTACCCGACATTAAGAAAGTGACGCAAGATATATTACAGCAAACTGACTCCATTCTGGGTGCACTGATGGTTGTAAATGCTGCTGTGTCTAAACTAAACAAAGGAGCAGGTCTAATTGGAAAGAGTGAAGATACTTCCACTGAAGCGAAAACAGAGGTTTCTGGAGTCAACAAAAGTCAAACATCAATTAGTCATCCGAATGGATTAGTATTGAGTGAGAAGGAAGCAGAGGAGATGAGAGCACTTTTTTCAACAGCAGAAAGTGCAATGGAGGCCTGGGCCATGTTAGCAAATGCATTGGGTCATCCAACATTCATTAAATCCGAGTTTGAAAAAACATGCTTTTTGGATAATTCAAAAACCGACACTCAGGCAAGTTTTTATATGTTTTACCCGTTCTTGGTGTTGGTTATATACATCTGGGAGACAAGTTAATAATTTCTAGCGAGGACTAATGTTATTCCAGTAACTACTGGTTATATCATCCATCACAAAGGAACTTTTGAATGATCGTAGGCTGTCTATGGTATGCAGGTGGCAATTTGGCGTGACCTGGAAAGGAAAAGACTTGTCATTGCTTTCAGGGGAACAGAACAGGTACTTCATATTTCATAGTTACTGCAAAAGGTTAAAATTGGTATACTGTGCGTTTCCTGGTTGCAATGATGACAATTGATCTATGCAGTCTAAGTGGAAGGATCTGCTCACAGATTTGATGCTTGTTCCTGCAGGGTAATGCACTGACTTAATATTTCTGAAAAAACAAAAAACAAAAGCAAAAAAAACTCAGATACACCTTTTCTAGTTGTCTATTGATTGATATATTATAAATTTTTTTAATATGTTTACAAAGAACCTTTTAAAATATTGGTCTAGTACAGATTTTGGAAGTAGTTTTTGTTTTATATGTATTATCAAGTCCTTATTTACTTCGAAACTTTTTTTGCTGACCATTCAATTATATGAGAAACTAGTGGGACACTGGCCCCTTCAAACTGAGACAAACCTGGTTGGCCATGCCTACTTGTTATTAGATGACTGCATATTTTGGTTATACACCACCACTGAATCAACTCTTGATTCATTCAAATGTTCAATTCTATTATTCCTCTACCCTATTGACATGGTGACATCTCCATATTGTTGTATCTGCATGTTTATTTGATTACGCTCTTGAGCAATATTTTTCAGATACTTAGAATTTCTGTATTGACACATTCTGCTTATACAGACTGAACCCTGAAAGAATAGGCGGTGATTTTAAGAATGAAGTTCAGGTATAAATCTGGAGTTCTGGTGTAGATTTACAACCGGTGAAGCTGTCCACGGAGTTTACCTTGTAACTAATGTAGTTTGCTTCTGTAAATGGGTTCAGGTTCATAGTGGTTTTCTGAGTGCCTATGATTCTGTTAGGACAAGGCTTATGTCTCTCATTAAACAAGCTGTTGGTTACAGGTAAATCATGCTGAAGAAAAAAATGAAATTTCTGCGAGAATTGCATTTGTGATGTTAGAGTTTTTTTTTTTTTTTTTTCATCGGAATTTATGATGCTAATACTCTTATAACTATCTAAAAATTTGAAGCCTGCATGCTTTACAATTGATTAATTCCATAAGATGAGATATATGTAAAGGGCCATGAATTTCTTAAAGGAAACAGAAGCATTTGTATATGTGCGTTTGTTTGTGAACTTGTATTGTTAAGGCCTCCATTTATTATTGAGCATCATCATAGGCATCCTTGTGCCTCAGTATTATGTCATAGTCACTAATTAGTTAAAACGTATGGCAGAGATGAATCTATGGAGTTGCTCCCGAAATGGCATATTTATGTGACTGGACATAGTTTGGGTGGTGCGTTGGCTACCCTTCTGGCTCTTGAATTGTCATCAAGTCAATTAGCAAAGTGAGTTCTTCTCTCATCTTGATATTGCACTTCCTGTATCTTCTGAATTACATATACTTCATGTTCCTTTAGTGGATTAAAGGAGAGAACCAAAAATTGAGTATAGCGCCACTAATGAGGCAGCGGATATAATGATTTATCCAAGTTTTCCTTTCTTATTTATTGAAATACCAATTCATCAATATTAATAGGCGTAATAGGTATTCCCTTTGATTTCAAGTTAACACAGATCATTCTAATTCTATCTCTTTGGGCATATCAGTAAGCCAAATGGCGAGCTGAGTTATATCTTTGCATTGTTTTGACTGCTCCATATGTCTTATTAATAAAAATTCAATCTACATCTGCTCTTTGTTTTCAAGCTTGATTTTGCCAATCATATAATGTTTCTCAGACACTGGAGGTTATCCTTTTTATTATAAATAGAAAACATCCTATAATCACCACAAATAACTGCTTAAGTGGTCGATAATGGATTCTTGATAATGACCTGTATCGGGTCAATTTTGTTGTGAATCCCTCAATTGGTCTACAATTGGTGAACATTGTCACATGGTGCTGATGGAAACTAATGTAAAAGGGAAAAATCGTTTTTTATTCATTAAATATATGGGAATGCAAAGTAAGAGGTGAAGCTTAAACTTCAAGATTTGACGCTATCACCCCTTGCTTTGGCACATGGTGGATTGTGCTGACAGATAAAAGCCCACTCTCTAAAGTTATCACGATTTTTAACAGTTGACCTTATTATCAGATTTATAGTCATCTTCAAAATAACTCAACTTTTGATGCTTGAGGAATCAAGCTTCATATGTGATAGTTTGGAGGTTTTGGATTTCGATACTTAATTCATCGATCAGTTTATTTCATTCATGTACATGCATAATGTCATGCTTCTGTCTTTTATTTCATTCAATGTCCATGCATGATGGCATTCTTCTGTCTTTGTGCCTAAAACTTTTTGATGTTTCCGTGGAGTTCCTACTTATACATTGGTGCAAATGTAGACGATAATTCCTCAACTTACCTTTAATTAGTTTGTTGATTTTTGAGGCAAACAAGATCATATTGACTTCAGTAAACTAAACTGTAACTTTTGCCATTCTTATATTGGTTGTTCAATACATTTTAGGTTTAGTGAGTTATTTTCTGGTGAGTTAAATTTCAGCCAATGTAATCTCTCTCTCTCTCTCTCTCTCTCTCTCTCTGCGACTAGGCTCGGAGCTATTTCAGTGACCATGTACAATTTTGGATCTCCTAGAGTTGGAAACAGAAAATTTGCAGAGGTTTACAATGAGGTGATTGATGCTTATTCTTTTCAAGCACCAATGTGAGACATACAAAAGACAAGGGGCCTAATTGGTTCTATTTCTTGTATAGCTCATTTTGTCATTAGCCTAAAATCTTTCAGCATTAGAAACTAAGTTGCCACATTGAGCTTGTCACAGAAGTTTCTTATAAGTTAAATTATTCTGCTTTCACTTGTGGGGATGAGAGTTCTCCAAATTTTCAGATGTTTCATTCTCCGACTCCTCAAAGTAATGGTACTTTTTAGGCAACAGATTGAGGATTACTTTTTTCTTTTGTAGAGTTCAAAACCTTCTATAGATATCATGTATGTACTGCTTAAACTACTGTTACTGGTGCTTTAAGCCCTAGGGCTCTGCCTTGCGGCAGATGTATGATGATTTCACATAATCGATGACATGTATTCAGTACTTGATTCGGGTGCTCGTCACAGTATTTTATTCACATGTTTTGCAAATTATTGTCTTCCTGCTCTTTTCCAGTACAAGTCTTTTTATTTATGTGTAACGAGAAAACTCATTTGAGGTCATTAATTTTTAAATCTAGTTCTTGTCTTTTCAAAATATACGTTTTTCCTCACAATCCTCTCTGCCTTACCAACCAGTTGACGTACTGAAATTGTTATTTATGGTAAGTTTGAGTTAAATCTTCCTTTGTGATGGCAGAAAGTGAAAGATAGTTGGAGAGTTGTGAACCACAGGGACATAATACCAACAGTGCCACGTTTGATGGGCTACTGTCACGTAGCTCAACCAGTTTATTTGGCTGCTGGAGATCTGAAAAATACGGCCGTGAGTACCTGGCTCTACTTGTATATTTAACTCAAACCATTTTTCCTGAAAATGACGTTTTTTCTTGAGAATTCACTTAGTTACACACATTTTGTCCTGTATGTATTGTATTACAAAATCACGTGCTGCAGGAGGATGTGGATGCTTTGGAGGGTGGATATCAAGGTGATGTTATTGGAGAAGCAACACCCGATCTTCTTGTCAGCGAATTTGTATGTTCTCTTTGTACCCATTCCCTTCATCATTATTATTCCAACTTCAGTTTTGTTTTAGTTTCAGGGTATTTTATTCGCATGCTCCCTAATCACTCCCAGAGCAAATTAGTCAAAACATGTTCATGGGAAGAAATAAGAAAGCTGAGACACCAAAGTTACAATTAATAATATTTCCTATTATTAATAATGTGCAAAAAA